AAACTCACCAGCAGACGCTCTGCTTCCCCCGGGGACTGCACCATAACATGTCTCAGGTTGGCCTGCTCTCTGTCTTCTGTCTCCTGCTCAGAGACCACAGTGGACAGTGATTCTCTGTTGATCAGCATGTTGTTGCGAGCATTGTCCAGAGGCTCAGGCCCTCTTGGGGGATGTGAGCACCAGAAAAAGACCTTGGGAAGGCAAAGAGCTGACTCAGGAGTCCTACCCACACACCCCTGCAGGGTCATGGGGAACATGGTGGGTTTTGCCCCCCACCTACCCTCATGCTATACCCCTCCCCCAGGTGGGCACAGACAGCACACTCAGGACTCTACTGCTGGTACCAGGACACTGGTGCTGTGCTAAGTGGGGTTTAGCACCCCTACCTGACACCCCAATGCCCCAGGGTCCAGGGTTATGGGTACGGGTGTCCCACAGGCAGTAAGAAGGACAGGGCTAGCGCTGCCAAAAAGCCTCTGGGCTGCTCAAATGGACCAGTTGCTCTCCTACAGTCATCCCAGAGTCCCCAGGCCACTTAGAGAGCCAGGAGCCACAGCACAGCACAGAATGGGGACCGTGTCCACCCAGGGCCTTTTTTGTTGTGGATGGGAAGCAGTATCTGAGGGCCTGATATCACCAGGTCCTGGAGAAACCAACTCACTTTTTCCATGCACTTGGGGTCCACTCCACAACCTAGAAGAGAAGAGAAACCAACTCACTTTTTCCATGCACTTGGGGTCCACTCCACAAACTTAGCAGGGTGAAGGCCCTCTTGCAGAACCTCCCTCCCCAGGGACAGTGCCAGGGACAGGATGTGGGCTAGGGCTCAGACAATGAACAAGGAACCCCGGACCTGGTGACAAGGAGGGGGCCATTCCAACTCTGGGGAACCCCTGGGGAGGGAGAAGAGAAGGGGCAGAAAGGAGTAAAATGAAACACATGTAAAATCTCTGTTGGAGTCTGCTGAACAAAGCCGTACAAGACTCCCTGACCCTCTCCTCCTGATTCCTGTCACCCAGTCAAGGTTCTCACCACCTCTTAGCCCTGACTGGGGGCCCTGAAGACATTAAGAACTGGCCCTGACCACCTGGACTTAGCCAGGAGGATGGGGGGTCCATCAGCCAAGATGGGGGACTGATGTGATCCTGGCACCCACAGGAGGAGGTGAGGTGGGAGGTGGGAGGTGGATGGGTATCACAGGGAACAAGATCAGAGCCAGGCCAGGAAGAACAGGAGGACTGGGGAGATGAAAGAGGGGGCCAGGGCCTCCCCTTCCTTCCCGGTACCTCACCTTGACGGTGGAACTTCCACAAACAATATGCAATCAGCACCAGCCCCAGCAGGCCGAAGGTAATTACAATTCCAAGCACCAGCTGTGAATTGCCTGAGGAGGGAGAAGGAGTGGTGGGCAGTCCCGGGCTCATGGTCACTGGCTTTCCAGGAACCAGAG